AGCGCGTAGTCGATTCAGCAGTCAAGGTGCGTGTCAACAGCGCGCAGACGGGCGTCGAGACGGCTAACGTCAAGCACAGCATGAACCCGTTCGACGAGATAGCAGTCGAAGAAGCGATCCGCCTGCGCGAGAAGCACGGCAAGGACGCAGTTGAGGAGATCGTCGCGGTATCGTGCGGACCGACCAAGGCACAGGAGACGCTGCGTACGGCGTTGGCGATGGGGGCTGACCGCGCGGTGCACGTCAAGACGGACGCGGATCTAGAACCGCTGTCGGTCGCAAAGCTGCTGAGCAAGGTGGTTGAGGCAGAGAAGCCGTCGCTTGTGATTCTGGGCAAGCAGGCGATCGACGACGACTCGAACCAGACTGGCCAGATGCTGGCTGGGCTGCTGAACTGGCCGCAGGCGACGTTTGCGTCAAAGGTTGACGTGAAGGACGGGTCTTTGGAGGTGGTGCGTGAGGTCGACGGCGGGCTGGAGACCGTCTCGTCGGCGCTGCCGGCCATCGTCACAACGGATCTGCGCCTGAACGAGCCGCGCTATGCGTCGCTGCCCAACATCATGAAGGCCAAGAAGAAGCCGCTCAAGACCGTTTCGCCGGCTGATCTAGGCATCGAGATCAAAAGCCGTCTGCAGACCCTCAAGGTCACCGAGCCTGCCAAGCGCCAGGGCGGAAAGATCGTGGCCAGCGTCGATGAGTTGCTGGACAAGCTGCGCAACGAGGCCAAGGTCCTGTAGTGCACGCTGTATTTAGAATAGGTGTTTGTTCTGCGCCGCTGGGTGAACAAACTAGGTTGTTTTTTCTTTAAATAACATCATATAGTTTTGAGCAGACATGCTTGAGAGACACATGAGGAAGGGAAAAAAAGCTTTTTTCATCGCCTTTTAGAAATGATGCGGCATTGATGGCTTCCCCCTCTTTTTTTCTCTTCTCTGCATCGTACCATTATATCTAAAAAAAGTATTTTATTATCATTTTATTTGAGACTGTTCTTATCGCATCGCCTTTACTATCCATGCATCCACAGCTCGCCGACCACCTGAACCCGGGCTGCATCGATCTTGCAGACAAGCTGATGAACTGCCATGCCGAGCACCAGTGGGCAAAGTTTCTGGGCAAGTGCAACGCGCTGAGCGAAGCGCTGAACAAGTGCCTTGGCGCAGAGTTCGAGGTGCGGCGCAAGCAGCAGCTGATCGAGGCCCGTGCGCGCAGAGCCCGGTTCGACCAGAAGATGCAGCGGCTCAAGGAAGACGACGCTGAGCAGCAGGCATTCGAGCGGCTTCGTGCGCAGCAGAAAGACGGCCAGTGAGCGCACCGTAGATGTGTTTGATTTTGCTTAGACTTGTAAAAAAAAATAAATGAATGTTCTATATTACGTTTGCGCGGTCATGCATGCGCTGGTGGCGTGTAACCTGGTCAGGACGTGAGAAGGCCTTGGCGCACGACGGCTGCGGGCACTTGAACGGCCGCTCGCCCGTGTGGATGCGCATGTGCTTTGTCAGGTTGGACGACTCGGCAAAGCGCCGGTCGCAGCCGTCGAAGCGGCACTCGTACGGCCGCTCGCCCGTGTGTGTGCGGCGGTGGATGGTTAGGGCCGACGACACGGCAAAGTCCTTGCCGCAGCCCAGCTGGCCGCACTTGAACGGGCGCTCGCCGGTGTGCACGCGGCGGTGCTGAGCCATGATGTGCGCCTCGCTGAAGCGCTTGCCGCAGTCGTCGCACACAAACGGCTTGGCGCCAGTGTGCGTCTGCATATGGCGCAGTGCGCGCTGGCGCTGCGCAAACGGCTTGCCGCCGCGCTCGCAGCCGCCCCATGCGCACGAGTAGTTGCTGCGCCCAGACCCCACATGGTCCGCCGCGACGTGGTCAGTCAGCTCGGCGATGCCCTGGTACTCGCCCTCGCAGCCGCGCCACCCGCACCGGTGCTGCACCTGCCGCGCGCGCAGATGGTCGCGACACACATGGTCCATCAGCACTTCTGTGTCGCCAAACGCAGCCCGCGTGCACGCTGCCCACCGGCACACAAACTCTGCTGCTGCAGCGCGTGCACTGCGGTTCGTCGCCACGTGCAGCTTGTACAGGTGCCGTACAAGCTCGTCCACCGTCGCGAATATCTGCGAGCACGTCGACCACAAGCAATGCTGTCCACGCGCCGCGTCCTCGTTTGCCGACCGCCTCTTCCTGTCCGTCGCCGTTGTTTTCTCTGTCGTTGTCTTTGTCGTTGCCGCCAGCCCGCTGCCGATGTCAAGCGCCCGAAGCGACGGCAGCGTCACCGGCCCTGCGCACCCGGCGCTCTCGCACTCTTTCGACGCGAGCCCCTGCGTGTGCCCGTGCAGCGGCGGCAGCTTAATGTCCTCGCTGCTCTGTCTGCTCGCCGCCTGGTTCCCTGCGTCTGCCATCATCGTCCCTTTGACTGGATGCTGTCCTCCTGGGGGTTTTGGCCTAAGGCTGAAGCTGTTCGTACCGTGTGGATGCTCGTTTGTGTGCCCCTGAAATCCTGGGCAACATAGTATAACACAAACAAAAAGCCAAAGAGGTGAGGATACAAAAGAGCTAGTCTCTCCTTGGCCGCTTCCTTTGCGAATATTTGTTACAAATAAAAAAGAGTTTTTGCTAAAGCGCTGTTGCAAGATAAATTAAAAATAATGAGCGAATTTTTCAGAAAGGAAAAAAGCAACACTCTGCTTTCAATAGCTGGTTGGCCAAGAAGCCAAGAAAAAAAGTTTCAAAGAAAAGCTTCATCAGACACACGTGAACGGTTGCTAGTCGATTGGTCGGTTTTGCGTTAAAGATTTCTTAACGCTTTGCTTGGTTTTTTTGTACACCACTTTAAAACACAGCAGAATACTGTTTTTTACCTTCTCTTTACCTTATTTTTATTTTGTCTGCATTAATCCTCTACTCTCTTGTTGCTCTTTGAATTTGCATCGCCATCGGAACTTTTTAAAAACTATACACTACAAAAACACTTTTATTTAAACATCCTCTCTCTGTCGAAACCATGAATGTCTTTCGGCTTTTTGCGGATCTCCTTCATTTGGGATCCATCTTTATTCTGATTGCCAGATTGAACCAGACAAAGTCGTGCAGCGGTATCTCGCTAAAGACGCAGGGTTTGTACTTCCTGGTCTTTGCCACGCGCTACTTGGATCTGTTTTTCTCGTTTGTGTCCGTCTACAACACGCTTATGAAGATATTCTTCCTTTTGTCTGCTGGATACATCGTCTATCTGATGTACGGCCCTCTTAAACCCACATACGAAAAGGGCCTGGACGCGTTCCGTGCAGAGTTTCTCATTGGCGGCGCCTTTCTGTTTGCTCTTGTTTTCCCCCACAAGTACGAGATTCTCGAGGTTTTGTGGTCGTTTTCGATATACCTGGAGGCCGTGGCCATCCTGCCCCAGCTGTACCAGATGACCCGCACTGGCGAGGCTGACAACATCACCAGCCACTATGTTTTCGCCCTCGGCGGCTACCGCGCCTTGTACATTATCAACTGGATATACCGCCGCTACACCGAGGAAGACTACTCAGACTATATCGCCTGGGTGTCTGGCGTTGTGCAAACTGTGCTCTATGCCGACTTTTTCTATATCTACTTTACTCGCGTTATCAAGGGCAAGGCCTTCAAGCTCCCTGTCTAGAGCAAGTAACAAGCGGCGAAAGAAACACGGCTCTTGAGAATAAGTATAAAAAGAGAGCTGACAGCGCTTTTGATAACACGATCATATTTTTTGCTCTTGTTCCTGTTTAAAAAAAATCGATTTTCAATAATAATAAAAAACAAATAAAGTAAAAGTAGAATTAAAACATATCAGCGTTTCATGAACTTTGGCTTTTTATTTTTTTCGTTATTATCCCTAAAACGTCTTTCCGCGGCCAATGCGGCGGCCTCTCCCGGCGTCTTGTTTTCGGACAGAAAATCATTTCCGCCAAGCGGTCGCCCTCCTTGGCCAGTATTTATATGTGACGTTGTGTTCTTTGCTGTTTGCCCAAAGTGTGCTGTCGCTGGTGCTGGTGGTATACGATTATTTGCATGACGTCCTTCCACAACCGGTTTTCTTCCGTCTCCAGGAAACTTTTCCGTTTTGGTCGTGCCGAGGTTCGAGCTAAAGCAGTTGCCCATCTGCGACTTTTGGACTACTTTAAGGATTGATAGTGAAGAAAGGGTTTTTTTTAATAATAAAAAAAGAAAAGGTGCTGTATGTGTATACACAACAAATGGATAAAGCTGTATAAAACAAGTAATAAAAAAATAATAAATAATAAATGAAACAAAGAAAATCGAAAGGAAAAGAGAAAGGGTTCAAACGCACAGCCCCTGACCACACACCACAAGTTCCGTTGGTCATTCCACTCGTTTGCCACTGATCAATCAAAAGGAACAAAATGTAACCACTGATTTTAGGACTCGCTTTATTTTATAGTTCCGTTTTAGCCCATGTTAGACTGGTCATTAGACCGTATTGTTACTGTTGCAACTATAGATTATTTTAGTCAAAGCTCTTTTGTACATTTCTGACAAAAATGAGTAATAATAATCGGGATATTTTCAAACAGTTGAAAGCGGTCGCTTTTCCTAAATATCCTTGACTGAATATAGTTTTTTACTTAACCACAACGTATCGAGGCAGTTGCATAAATTGATAAAACACTTGCAAACACAAAAACGACATAAAAACTTTTGGTTTAGCTAGGGAATAAAATATTGCCGAGATCCTGACGTTGATGTTTTCCAAACGTAATAAACCTGCATTGAACAAGAAGTATTCATATTATAAACAGCAGTTATGCTGATTGGTAGCAATGACAATATTTGCTTGGTCTATTAACAACTTGGCGCAAGTGGGGATATCGACCAACTGCGTTACCAAAGATAATTTAATGCAATCAATTCGCTTGATTTAAACCACTAAACGTAGCTTTATATTTACTGATAAAAACTGAGTAATTAGAATAGGTAATTGGTTGAAAATTATCACCGATTAAACGTGTTTGTAAGGCCACGTAGCTCAGTGGCTAGAGCGCTCGTTTCCGATGCGAGAAGTCCCAGGTTCGACCCCTGGCTTGGTCGTTGCAAAACGCAATTTTTTGTATCTGGAATTTCCAGTACTGGAGTACTGGTCTTTTTTTACTTTTTTGCCTGCACATCTGTGTTTATTCAGGTCGTTTCAATCGTTCTTTTTCTATTTCTACAAGGGCAATACATCAATAGTGTTTTCTCTTTGGCGCTTGCGGTGCTTCCGACCTCCGCCTTCCGTGTCCCCTTGCTCCTTGCGAACGACATACCGTGATGACGAGCGTGTCTTTGCACCAGCAGACATGCCGATCTGATGCTCGGGTGTTATCTGCGGCTGAGCCAGCTCTTGCTGGATATTGCTGCTGATTAGCCGGTTATTCTCTGGTGTCATTGCAAGAGCTTCGAGTCTCTTGCTTTTGCGTTGCGCAGCAGCAATGTTTCTCGGCGACAGTATTGTCTGCGGCGGCGGCTGGCTGATAATCGAGGTGCGGGTAAGCGAGGTGTTGGGGGTATATGCCGTCTCGTGTCTACGGCGATGCGGGCGTCCTCCGCCTTCAATATCGCCATGGATCCAGTCAGACACATTCCTAGGCTTTTCGGACTTTGGCGTAGTCATTGCGCTTTTGCTGGGCGGCAGCTGCTCTGGCTCATCTGAATCTGCAATGGTAGCGGACTGTAGATTAAAGTCAAGAGCTGGCGGCGGCATCTGCATGTTTCGAACAGGATCCAGTAGCCGCTTATCGTGGCGTGCTGATAGGAATGCTGTTGGAGACTCGGCTACAGCCGTGTTCTCTACATCCATGGCGGCATCCATCGAGAGATCGTTAGGGTCTTCTACCACCAAATTCGGTTGGCGACCGAGCGTATCCATTCTGATCCGCTGCGAGCGTACGTCCGCTGTTGGGCTGCCAGGACTGCTGATCGAATCCAGGTCAGAGTCAGCGTTTGCTGGGTATGTGTCCTTGGTCGACGACATCACCATAGCCGAGTAGGCCTGGAATTGGGCAATCCGCTCGGAAGGGGAGCGGCTGGACTCGTCGTCGATAAAGGCCGAAGTGCGATTCGCTCTGTGAGGCGTAAATCGATCAATGAAAACGTGGTCAATGTCTGAAAATAATTGCGGGTGGCTTGGCATGTCTTCCATATCATCGGGAGTTTCGAAAAAGCCTTTGGGGAAATTCCCTGTTTGGCGGATGCCACTGTACAGATCGAGCGTCGGCTGCTCTAGTTTATCCAGCGACAGCTCGAGGAAACCACCGAGCCTTTCCAAAAACCCATCTGGCGGGCACAGGCTCGCGAGCGTGTCCAGGTTAGAGTATGCGGCTTCGGAATGCGGCGACTCTAGTGACTCCATCAAGTCACGTATTGCTGGCCAGTCAGAGTCAAAGCTAGTGGCATCCAGGCAACTGTCAGGGAACCACAGCTGCGGATAAAGCTGTTGCCGGCTATTGGACCTTGGTGAGACAATATCCATAGCATCAAGCACGCTCTGAATAGAATGCTTTCCATCTCTGTGGGCAAAGAGAGCTAGCTGCACAAGCAAGTAGGAAAGCAGGTCGTACCATGCGCTTCCAACCACTGGCGGTGCCGATGTCTGACAAGCATCGTTTTGGAGCTGCGCCACTTGCATCGACATATCAAGAAACATCTGAACAACAGTAGCAGGCGTCTGGTGCGGACGAACATAAAGCCGCCGAGACAGGGCCCCCATTTCCTCAATGTTGTCACCATCGCCGTCACCATCGTCGTCAGCTACTTCGGCTCCTGCTTGCGCTTCGTCTAGCCGCAGAATTTCAGAGAAGCACACGTTGAGAAACCTGTACACACGCGATCTAATACGCAGCCCTTCAGATGGCTCGTTGCCGCCAGTACGCGCATAGAGTCTGTCCACAATTCTAAAGGTCGTTGCAGCCTTGCTGCGCATTGCCTTCAAGGCATACTTTAGCCTGTCGGTTTCTTTTGCCTGTTGCGGATCTCCAGAATGTCCCTGATTTTGCAGGTTGCACATTTGCGCGTGCATGCCGAGAATATTCAGCGCGTGTCGTATAGCCTGGTCGAGGAACGACTCTAGCAGCATTATCTCCCCGAGAACCTCAAACGAAATCATGGCAGTCAGGGTAAATTGAAGTGTCTGTGAGCAACTGGTTTAGCGGTAAAGAAGGCAGATAAAATAAACAAAGGTGCTAAAAAGCGTGTAGAGAAATTACAAAAAAAGGGAAAAAGAAAAAAATCTATTGAATCAAGGGCTGCAGACAAGGTTCTATGCTCCCAATTGTCTGTTCAGGTACCCATACCAGAAGTGACATTTATTATGCTGACTACCGCATCGCTCAGTTTTCTGATTCGTCGTCGTTGTGCTCCTGTCCCTCCTGCTCGATCTTCATGGCCATCTCCCGCTCCATGTCCAAGAACGCCCGCATCGTTGGGTCGACCAAATCGCGAAGGTTTTCTGGCCGTATTTGCTCGGGGACCTCTTTGCCCTGGTCCTCAAAGGCCTGTCGAATGATGCCTGCCTGCTTCTGATATTCCCGCATATCCTCATCGTACAGATCCCAAACGCAAAACTCGCATCCGGAAAGGCAGCAGTCGCCATCGCTGGGCGGCTCGGGCTTTGGCGGCAGCAACTTCATCATTTTTGCCAGGTCCTGCCGTTGATGAGCCAGTGGTGCACCTGTGCAAAACTGCTGTCGTAGCCCGTATATTGACCCAGTTCTGGTTCTGGTTCTGGTTCTGGTTCTGGCGCTGGCCCTGGGTCCTGTTCTAAATAAGGCTGCTAATAAGGAATGTCTCATTGCACTAGAGTCTCTTCGTTTTTTAATTCATAATTATTCTATTTTACATAAAAAAAAAGCAGGAGAAAACGACACAAAGAAATCTCGATGACCTCATAAGAAAATTTATTTTTAGGTACTCGTGGTGCACGATGATGTTTTTTTCTTTTGCATCATCGAAATTTTAAAGGTAAAGTGCGTGAGCGCTTTCTCTTTCGTCCAACATCTCTTCATTCTTCGTTTCTGGCTTGCTCGCTTATTTATTTTTAATATACTTTTGCAATTGGAGGCTTTTTCTCCCTCTTCTACTCTTTACATGGCACCTACATCTTTATTCACACATGCATCTCAGCCATCCACTGCATCCGCTGCGTCTCTTCTGACAAGGGCTATCACCAGAGACGATGTCACACATGCGCTGACTCCAACCAAGGAACAGCGAACAGTGCTGATTGTCATCGGCGCATATGTCCTCGGAATTCTTATTCTGTGGAACCTGCCCTATGTAAACAAGATTCTGCTGCCATTCAAGCTGGCTACAGTCGCATTACACGAGCTCTGTCATGCAGCTGCGGGCTTGTGCACAGGCGCGAGACTGCGGTCCATCTCGATCACCATAGACCCTGACGAGGGTGGTCTTACCCGGATGTCGGGCGGCAAATGGTGGTGCGTAATGCCAGCGGGGTACTTGGGCAGCTCGTTCTTGGGCGCGCTAATGGTGTTTGCTGGCTTCAATGTGCTGGCATCCAAAATCGTTTCGGTGATAATAGGCGTATGTCTGCTCGCCACGCTGATTTGGGCCAAGAACTGGCTGACTCGGGTGATAACCGTTCTTTTTGTCGGCCTGATAGTCGGGCTGTGGTTCACCCCTCACGGAGCTGGTCTCCGCTATGTGGTGCTTTTTATGGGCGTCATGTCCTCTCTCTACGTTCTCTGGGACATTGTGGATGACACCGTGCGCAGAAAGGTCAACGACAGCGACGCGACAAAGTTTGCTCAGCGCACCCACACCAGCTCGCGGTGCTGCGGTGTGCTTTGGCTGCTGATTGCTCTAATTTTCCTTGTCGCTGCTATCCTTCTTGGCCTTGCCTTCCTCAAAGACGATTCATCGCTCTCAGACAGCAGCAATGGCAGCACTAACGCTTGATTGTAAAAATGCATCTTCTCCACTTGTATCGATCAAGCGATTAAGATCACAAGCTGCCCTGGATTTCAATTGCTTCAGTGGAGGCAACAAGGATTGTATTCCCCCTTCTTTTAGCCTTTTTTTCATTTAGCTTTGCCTGTTGGCGTTTTGTTTATTTTTTCATTTATAAATAAGTAACCTCCTAATTATTTTTTATAACATTTAAAATGACATCGCTGGCTGGCAGACAGCCATTGGAGTCAGATGTAATCGATCGAATCCGCGTAGGAGACTGGTCAACAAGCGTTACTGACAAATTGTACGTATAGTTTTTGTTTTGTTTTGTTTTGTTTTCCAAGCTGGAAATTTCTCTTGAAAGTAGCATATTCCGTCCTGTTCCAACAACTAATCGCAATTGATTGCAAAATATTTGCCGACCTGTAAACTTGTATTTATTCTTGCGATATTTAGGTCATACGCCATCCTATCCGGCGATCCGGACAGCAGAGCCCAGCTCTGTACTCAGCTCTTGCGATCTCTTTGTGTAATCGACCCCACACATGGCTTTGCAGATCCTGACGTCTTTAGTCAGAATATGGCTCGCTGCATCCAGAGCTGTGCCGCCGCCGCAAAAAACACCAGTGTCGAAACCGTAGCCGAAGTTGTAGTTATAGATGAAGACGAAGGCGAAGCCAGGGTCGAGTCCAATGTTGAAGTCGAGGTCAGTACCGACCCTGATTCAATAGCAGTTCACACGCATATCGCAACAGCGCTTGTAGAGACCATATGGTCACTGTGCATAGAGTGGGAGCCAGATACCTCGGACGACAGCGCCAGCAGATGGAAGGAAGAGCAGGACAGCTATTTGGAGCAGACAAAGCGGCTTGTCCGGCTGACACGAGCGATGCTATCTCAGGGAGTCATTAGCCATGATATGGCCAAGGAGCGTTTGGACCCCGACTTTCTCGAGCAAATCGGGGCCATTCAGTCGGCCACCACATTCACGCGCAAATACATCAGGCTAAACACGGCTCTCAATTTCAAGCAGACAAAGTTCAACCTTGTCAGCGAGCAGAGCGAGGGGTTCTCAAAGCTAGTGACCCTGATCCAGGCCAGCATGTCAGGCATATCTCCTAATCGCATAGGCAGCGACATTG